CAAAAGCGATAGAGAGAAGGAGATCGCCGAGCACGAAGAAGCAGCAAGATACTTGTTTGGACATGAGGCCCTGTTCGGTGACGAAGAGGACAAGCCACCAGGCCGATGTCAGCTGCCTGGATGTGAGAAAGGTGTGGCGATCTTGAACGGCAAGGAGACAAAGTATTGCTGCAGGAGGCACTACTACAAGCACGTCAACCGTGCGGAGATTCGTGAAGATGTTTGGATGAAGTCTGCCAAAGTGGCCATGACGACCCTCGCATTGGCATCTGCACCAAAAGCTGAAGCGAAGAATGAGGAGAGTGATTGGACCTTCATTTACACGGTGGCTGTAATGCTCTGTTTTTCGTTCTTTGGTATGTACAAGTTCGTGTACCAGGTTTTCTTGTATGTGAAGAAGTTTGTTGTGATGCAGCTCACCGTGGAAGAGGAATTGGCGCCCTCGATGCTCGGTCCGGTCGCAGCCGTAGGTTTGAGCCATGGCGAGATGGCGAATGTGCAGACCCCAGAGTTTGACATGATTGAAACGAATGACGAGGCCAAGAGCTCAGAGAGTTCAACGGAGACACATGTTGGAAGCGAAGAATGGGGTCGCTGGCATGATCTTCGTGAAGGAAGAAAAACAGAAAAGATTGCGAAAGCTCAAGGAGTTGATGGAAAGTCCTGAGGAGACCAACTTCGACCCGAAGACGAAGGAATTCATCGAGACAGAGGATATGTCTGAAAGCCGCCGCTTGAGGTTCAAAGAGCTGATGGCAGTCTCGACAACCAGGGACTTCAGTGACCGCCAGATTCGGCAGTGGATCTGGTACATGAACAAGTACATGATCCTCATGAGCGAGCTGAACTACAAGTTCAAGAACCGAGAGGTCGAAGAAGTGAAAAAGTCCCAAGCTCAGAAGTACTTGGATGGTGATTTGAAAGATCGACAAAGCCAGACACCAACACACTACGACAGAACGGCAAGTCCAGCTCGATATGTACAGCTGCCCTGGAACCAACATGGGGCATGGCTGTATAGTGATGATTTCTATCCACACCGGGATTAGAGAATCCCTGAAGGGCTTTGAGACCGGTTGTGAAGTAGAACTGAAGGGCTCGCAACTTGAATTTTCTCCTGAGGAGAGTTCACGAAATCAAAGAACTTTCCTCCCATGTTGATGCTGCGATTGAGCCATCATAGATTTGCATTCAGTTCATTTTCCTTTCATGTGATTCCGGCTCACGAGGGCCCTTGAGACAGGCTTAGGCTGCGACCTGACTCGACCGCGAGCGTCGAAACCGTGCCTGTCGGCATTTCTATTTGTTGAAGTTTGCCCTGACCGACTTCGTTTGCGGTTGGGCGAGGAAGCTACCTCGATAGTTTGGGTATCAGCGTTCCATTGGGATCAGCTCCCGGGGGTGACTGGGGGATGACTTCTTGGAAATTGCGTTGCCATGGTGATTTGGCATTGAAATGTTCCTGTATCGACGCAGAGCGGTTGGGTTTGCCTCTTGTCTCTCCCGGTCTTAGGAGGTGGGTTAGTTTCCCGTGCTCAGCCTGGCCTTTGCTGGGAAGGTCCTTGGGAAGTTTGGCTTTTGGGGATTCCTTCCCCAAAGCATTTTCTGCTTGCTTTCCTTCGCTACTTGCTTTGCCCGGTTCAGGCGACTGTGAGCGTGAAACAGAAGTCTTCACGAGCGTGAGACGAGATTGAACTGACTCGGAAGCCTGGTGTTTTGAAGGGTAACCAACGGCCCACAGTATTATGCACTTTCGCTCCATGATTTGTCCAGAACAACGCAAGCCTACAGCATCATTGTTGGTCTTCCGTCGGTCCTTTTTCAGCAAGCAGACCTTCAAATTCGTAAGAGCCCATGGGGTACTCATGTGAGCGTCGTTCAAAAACCCACCTCTTCCTTGTTAGTAATCGAATTTCAAAGGCTGATTTCGAGTGCGCTCTCACTGCAGTCGCGAAAGGTTCGCGAAGGTCCTGCGAGAGGTCTGCGCGCGTCATGTTGGTGACCTGGCCACGCTGCAAAAACAATTGCTCTTCAGACTTCCGATTGCTTTTTCCAGGGTTGGGAAAAAGCAAACTGGAAGTCTGAACCAAATTGGAAGTTTTGACCATATTGCTTTTCCCCAGCCTGGGAAAAAGCAAATTGAAAGTCTAAACCATTTTGCTTTTTCCCGGGCCGGGAAAAAGCAAATTGGAAGTCTGAGTCAAATTTGGCAAAAGCAATTTGAGCTCAAAAAATTAAGCAACAAGCAATTTGTATCAGATTTACAAACTAAAATCAAACAAATCTGGCCTAATGGATAAGACATCAGGATCAGAACCAGAAGGTTGTGGGCTCGAATCTTCCCCGTTGTGAATTGTTTCTCCCAGACTGGAAAAAGCCAGTGGGCATCTGTGAGCCACATTGCTTTTTCCCAGCCAGCAATTTGGAAGTCTGAGCCTGAACCATTTTGCTTTTCCTGGCCCGGGAAAAAAGCAAACTGGAAGTCTGAACCATTTTGCTTTTTCCAGCCATTTGAAGTCTGAACCATTTTGCTTTTTTCCAGCCCGGGAAAAAGCAAATTGGAAGTCTGGACCATTTTGCAGTCTGAACCATTTTGCTTTTTGCCGGCGGAAAAAGCAAATTGGAAGTCTGGACCATTTTGCTTTTTCCCGGCCCGGGAAAAAGCCAATTGGAAGTCTGAGCCTTTTGCTTTTTCCAGGCCCTGGAAACAATCAAATTGGAAGTCTGGACCATTTTGCTTTTTGCCGGCCCGGGAAAAAGCAAATTGGAAGTCTGGACCATTTTGCAGTCTGAACCATTTTGCTTTTTGCCGGCCCGGGAAAAAGCAAATTGTAAGTCTGGACCATTTTGCTTTTTCCCGGCCCGGGAAAAAGCAAATTGGAAGTCTGAGCCTTTTGCTTTTGCCAGGCGCGGGAAAAAGCAAATTGGAAGTCTGGATCATTTTGCTTTTTCCCGGCCCGGGAAAAAGCAAATTGGAAGTCTGAGCCTTTTGTTTTTTCCAGGCCCGGGAAAAAGCAAATTAGAAGTCTGAACCATTTTGAAAGCAAATTGGAAGTCTGAGCCTTTTGCTTTTTCCAGGCCCGGGAAAAAAAGCAAATTGGACGTCTGGACCATTTTGCTTTTTGCCGGCCCGGGAAAAAGCAAATTGGAAGTCTGGACCATTTTGCTTTTTGCCGTTGGAAGTCTGAGCCTTTTGCTTTTTCCAGGCCCAGGAAAAAGCAAATTGGAAGTGTGAACCATTTTGAAAGCAAATGGGAAGTCTGAGCCTTTTGCTTTTTCCAGGCCCGGGAAAAAATCAAATTGGAAGGCTGGACAATTTTGCTTTTTGCCGGCCCGGGAAAAAGCCAATTTGAAGTCTGGACCATTTTGCAGTCTGAACCATTTGGCTTTTTGCCGGCCCGGGAAAAAGCAAATTGGAAGTCTGGACCATTTTGCTTTTTGCCCGGCCCGGGAACCATTTTGCTTTTTCCCGGCCCGGGAAAAAGCAAATTGGAAGTCTGAGCCTTTTGCTTTTGCCAGGCCCGGGAAAAAGCAAATTGGAAGTCTGGATAATTTGCTTTTTCCCGGCCCGGGAAAAAGCAAATTGGAAGTCTGAGCCTTTTGTTTTTTCCAGGCCCGGTCAAAGCAAATTGGAAGTCTGGACCATGTTGCTTTTTGCCGGCCCGGGAAAAAGCAAATTGGAAGTCTGAGCCTTTTGCGGGAAAAAGCAAATTGGAAGTCTGGACGGCACGGGAAGAAGCAAATTGCAAGTCTGAACCTTTTGCTTCTTCCCGGCGCGGGAAAAAGCAAATTGGAAGTCTGGACGGCCCGGGAAGAAGCAAATTGGAAGTCTGAACCATTTTGCTTTTTCCCGGCCCGGGAAAAAGCAAATTGGATGTCTGAAGCATTTTGCTCTTTCCCGGCCCGGGACAAAGCAAAGTGGAAGTCTGAGCCTTTTGCTTTTTCCCGGCCCGGGAGAAAGCAAATTGGAAGTCTGGACCATTTTGCTTTTTTCCTGGGCCGGGAAAAAGCAAATTGGAAGTCTGGACCATTTTGCTATTTGCCGGCCCGGGAAGAAGCAAATTGGAAGTCTGAGCCTTTTGCTTTTGCCCGGGCTGGGAAAATTTAAATTGGAAGTGAGATACTTTTCCGATTGCTTTTTCCTGATCCTTGGAAAATTCTTTGTCGTGGGAAACTGCGCAAGCATGGCGAAAGGTTCGCATTGCGGACGCGAAAGACGACAGGGCCAAACCTCGCCCCACTCCACTCTTCTTGCTGGAAGCACGCGCTGGACACTCCAGCTGCAGATGCCCTCATCAAGTGCAGGTATGTGAGGTGAGGCTGGAGAAAGCAATTGGAAATCTGTGAGGCTAATTGGAAGTCTGATACATTTTGCTTTTTCCCGGGTCGGGAAAAAGCAAATTGGAAGTCTGAACCATTTTGCTTTTTCCCGGCCCGGGAAAAAGCAAGTGCATGTCTGAAGCATTTTGCTTTTTCCCGGCCCGGGACAAAGCAAATTGGAAGTCTTGACAATTTTGCTGTTTCCCGGCCCAGGAAAAAGCAAATTGGAAGTCTGAACCATTTTGGTTTTCCCCGCCCAAAGCAAATTGAAAGTCTGAACAATTCTGCTTTTTCCCGGCTCGGGACAAAGCAAATCCGTCTCTTGTTCATGGAGGGTTGCGCCCAACCAAGAACACGCCAAAATGAAAATGGCTTGGTTGGCTGGCTTCCTGTTCCTCAGAAACCAATGTGTCAGTGATCAGAGGACGCAAGACGTGCCAGGGCAACTGCATGAATCCTGGAAAGCCTCTAGCCCCAACGAAAAACCATTTTCGCCGACAGTGGTAAAACCCCACGCGCGAAAGCTTGCGACAGCTTCGCGAAGGTCCTGCGAAAGGCCTGGAAAAAATGAAAGGACTTTTGAACAACCCCCATGTGCCCCTAATAGGCTCCCAAAACAAGCCATCACTGGCCCACTGATATCCTTAATGTGTGTTCGGTGAGTGCTTTGGGCCTTGCAGGCCAGGCGGCTTTTTCCATGATTGGTCCATGTGGACGCTGCTCAGCCGATTTAACTGCAGTCAAAACGATCGCATCGGGGTAATTAGATGCCTCTGATCTTGGGTTGCGGTGGAAAGGATCAAATTCACAGGAAGGGTTGGTGAAAACACAAACAGTTCAATGTAAGTGTAGCAATATATTCAGGTTTTGTACTTGAAGGCATGCCTCGTACAGCTTGAGTAGAAATGGTGAAATGATTTCCGTAGACACATGCACCGACACACCCTTTTATCGCCATGCCATCCGTGCTGCCAGCCTCAAAGATAATGTTTTGTCGTGACGCTGTATTTCCCCAATAGCCATAGCTTGGGCTTGGGCTGGCATTCTTTGGATAGATTGAATCATATCAATCTGGTTGTTTTGGTGTCTTCAAGCGGTCCGACACTGCTGAGGTGGGTAATTGCCACTTGGCTCATGCTAGATTTGAGTCTCATTTCTAAGCATCAAAATGTATATAGTGACGAAACTGTCAGCTCGATGGTTTCTGTTTGAGACCAAATTCTTGGATTCCAGCCTTGCTTTCTGGTTGACAACCATTAGGTCTTTCACAACTTGGGCGACACCATTTTGAGAGCCTCCGGCTGTTTGCTTTTGTTGTCTGGTGTTTTGGCAATACCTTTACTCGGCAAAACAATCCCGCTCCCAGCGAAGGTGCAGCCGTGGCAAAACAATTTGATTCTGTTGTGAAGGCCATTTGCAGTACGCTTAGTTCAACAACGTTTCCTGCAAAGTCTACTTTTGGCAGCGTGAGCGCAACTGGCATAATTAGCTGAAACCACTCCGATTATATAGATGCTGTCCAAGGTGGCGTCGTGGGAATTATTTTTCCAACTTGGGTGAGACCCCGAGATACTGAGATCATTTGAGACTTTTGGTCTATATATAGTTCAAAACGGAACGCTCTTCCACTGCACTGTGGCTGAGGTGGTCAGCTACCTATGTGGCTGGGAAGATCTAGTTCTCAAGAGCTCTGCAGGCGGGTTGGGCTCAACATGGTGAAGTAGAGGGAGTTTTGATGCGGTGCCAGCTTTTTCACAGGCATCCAGACGCATTAAATTGAACAATGACCATGCGGTTGCAAACACTCAGATGTAGGTCCGTAGGTCACCATATCAATGCAACGAAGCACTTACAGTAAATAAAACAAATCACACACTTTATATACGCCGTGGTGCCGCCGACCCCCTTTTTGGGGCAAGGATGCGGAACTCGCCAGTTTGGGCCCTTCACTGGCGAAGTCACTCAACTCCAGAGTTTATTGGGCAAGTTCCTTGGGCCGCTGACCAATGCAGCGGACCGCCACCGAGCAAGAAACCTCGCCACAACTCCAGCAAGACGTTGCATTGAGACAGACGCTTCTTTGCGAGCTTTTTTTGAACGTAGCAGAAGTCCGCGCACTGATCGAGACGCAGAAACGTGAAGAATGTACCCAAAACCTATGTTCGATGGTGGCGAAGCGACCCTGCAGCGAAGGAGCCCGCGTGCCCGATCGTAACACCCGCGTCGAGCGAGAAAGGCTGCAAGCCTTGCTTCAAGAAAAGGACGCCGCGCGGAGTTCGCGATGTACGCGGGACTGTGCGAGGTGTAGCCCGGAGCTGGTGGCGGAGACGTGGGCAGAAATGACCCAGAGACACAGCAAAGCGACAGGCAGTACGAAAAGAACCCCCACACCGAGAGGCGAACAGAAGCAAAAGAAAGAGGCCGCAGGTACTGTTATCGCTGCCCACACTGCGATGGGGACGCGCAAAGCACCACAAACTGCGGCCAGGTCAAGCACGGAGTCAAGCACTGTGGAAGATACTTTCACGTGCGTGACGGCAGCGTATGTGGGCAAGTGCATCCCCACCAGTGCCCGCAGTGTGGGGCCGTCGTTTACAGCAGCGTGAAGCAGGACCGGATACAGATCACCCATAAAACCCTCGGCGGGCGCACGTGCCCGACAGCATGAGCCCTCAGCCGGAGACCTCGAATTCTGCGCGCAAACGGGTGCCAGACGGCAGCTGCCAGTCTCTAACGTTGCTTTTGGAACCCTATAGATACAAAAAATTGAAAAATAGCAGGCGCGGAACCGCGTAGCAGGCAAGGTGATGGCCACAGCTGTATCACAACTCAAATCTGTACTCAAATCCTCCCCAAAAAAACATCCAGGCTCAAATCCAGACTCATATTGGGACGCAGTTTGGCGCCCAGCTTGTTTGTTTCCTTCCATATTGTTTCTCTTAGTTGTTTCTGGTTTTGTTTTTGTCGAATCCTGTCCTGAGTAGACCTGTTCTCCTGAGTGTGGACTTGTTTTTCCTATTTTTTTAAAAAGGGATTTCGGCTCTATTTGATTTCAACCTCTTAACCTTGGATTGCATTTTCAGAGCCTCTCATTTGCCAGGCCAGCTAAAAATGACGGGTGGAGTTGCAGCTTGCAATCAAAGACCTCAACGCTTCACAGTTGAGAAACACTCATGAAGCTGGCATGTTTGCTGCAAATTGTGATCAGTCCAAACAAGGCATGCTGAGTGCAGCCTTGCAAGTGCATGGCAATCGGAGTCGCAAGGTAGTAATTGTGGGTTCCTTCGCCTATGTTCTTGGCCGTGCGCAGAACAATGAGCTGCGGAAGTCTCAAGATGAGGCTAGGAAACCAAACAGGGTTTTGGAAGATAGTCACCCGTTGACACATGGATGTTTTGTGCCGAATGAAAGCCAGCTGTTTTTGCCAGGTGGCGAGACTAAGTCAAAGGAGCGGAGTGGTCGAGCTAACGTGAAGTCCTTCGATTTCAACAATTACAAACGGGGGGGGGGTGTGATACAGCTGCAGCTGGTGGTTGTTGTGACTTCTCAAAACTCGAAGAAACATCCGCCCTTGCTGTTAAGTGGTTGGGTGCTGACAGTCAACCAAATTACAACCCATCATGCCAACTGTTGTGGAAAGAGACATAAACAATGTGTTGAGGAGCCAGTTTGAAGAACCGTCTATATTGAGGGTCCTATGGGTTGAGCTCCTATGTTTGGCCTGTGCTGAGGCAAGCTGGCAGCCCTCATGCCACGCATTTGTGTGAGTACGCCCTCAATTTGTACAATTAGACAAAGTAAAGAGGAACAGCTGCGATTCTTGGCTGAAAAGCCAGGCTGTCCAATGCATTTGAATGTGCTTGAGTGCACTCGAGTTGATATTGTTTCCAAATGAAGCGGAAAACACAATTCTTTAGAGCAGACGGAGCATTATGGAGCTTGGAGCCTTGCAGTTCATGGTCTTCGGGACTGAGTAGTTCCCACTGTTGGTACTATCAACGCTGAAAGTTGGGCGACAGCCGATTTGCAACTAAAATCGTTTGGGAGAGAGCTGCAGTTTTACTACCTTTCGGCTTGTTTTTGCAGCTCAAGTATTGACATATTGAAGAGTGAAGTGTATATCTGTATATATATATAATATGTTGAGAATTCTAGGCTGAACCGTCCTCCAACCACCACCGCTGAAAGAACCCTGTTCTTTGTCCTGTTCCACTCAAGTCTCCGCACCCGCCCTCCCCGGACTGGTCCCGAAGAGGTTTGGTCCGGGCGACGAGCGCTGCACATTTCAGACACCTTCTATTTTCTAGCTTTCGATGTTCTCTTCAGTTTTTCTATTTTCTCTTAGCCAAGCTAGGCGGTTTCTTCGATCGGCGTGTTCTTTCAGTGCAGATGTCACGTCAAACAAGCTATACTTTCCCTCCGCAAGACACTGTCGTAATGATGTGCTCTCCACAGCTTTCGTCAATGAATCTGCAAGGTGGGCCTCTTAATTGGCAATTTTCCTTCAACCTTTCTCTGATCAGGATGCACTCCAAACATGTTCTATGTTCCTCACAAGTGGGGGTTGAAGTCTTGGTAGCAACATCGTATACAGACTTGCAGTCGGTGAGAGCTTCCTTCAACATGGTGTTTGGGTCCATGAGATTGCTTCCAGGGTTTTGTAACCACTCCCAGAAGAGTCGAAGCCATGACAACCGGTCCAATGATGCACTCAATGCCACAGCTTCCACCGATAGAGTTGAACACACAACCCTTGGTATCTTCTTTGAACTCCATGCAACAGGACACACAATCCCTACCTGATTGCTACCGAACCTACAATCAGTGGCAAAGATAATGGTCCCCTGTCCTGAAGCTGTGTCCCGATTTGTGGCAAAGGAGGCATCACTGAATGCACAAAATGTGAGCTCTTGTATGGGTATTGGAATTGTAAACACACAGCATGGGTCTTCGCCTCATGAAGAATCGTGTTCAAAGCCAACATTTCCCCTACAGTTGCAGGAGTATTCCTGGACTGTGACTGTACTTCCCCTATTTTGGCTGCCAAATCAGGATCAGTGTTCACTGCAGCATACTGTAAAGAGCCACATAGTTGTCGAATCTCTTGGCGCTCCTCTTCTGTCACACTCTCTCTGTTCTAGCTCTATGGATCCATCATCCCATTGAACACATCGCACACCACAGAATGTGCATTTTCTCCGATAGATAGCTCCAAAGCTGTACACCTTTTGGATCCGCTGGAGAACCTGTGCAACATATGAGTCACCGCCCCTATTCCATCTACATGTATCCCCATCGCCCATAGGCGCCTGCTTGAAGTTGTTGACATTGGTCAGTGTCTGATATATCTCTAAAGCAGATGCCAACTCTTTTAGGGATTGTATCCCACGATTTCTCCCATCACCACGGCCTTTGAGAAAAGCCATTGCAACATCAAGGCTTATCAATTCCCGCATGCGGCTAGCCACTGTCTGTGGAATCCACATTTTTCCATCTTTGGACAGTGTTGGGGCGTCATTTGGGATGTGAGGGCCTGGGTCTGTAAAACCCAAAGCAACATAAAGCAACCAGTCGAGCCTTGGCTCGTCTTTCACTCCCCACAAGTTCTGGTCGCGGCAGCTGTGCAGAAGTCACCTGCGGTGGATGAAGCTGGAAGGGAGAAGCAAAACACTTCCTTAGTATAACCCTTGCAACCCTTGCACTGCCCTAGGGCCCTTAAACATTCGTTGAATCCGTTGGAAACTATTCCCACAGTGGAACGCTGATATGCTGAAAGCTTGAAAGTCTTCAAGCAAAACTAAACACTACCCGACTGTCCGCCGGGTAGCTGACGGCTCGCCACACAGCACTCACCATTGTTTTTTCCTTTGCCATCAGCCTGTCATGTCTCTAAGCAGAACATATTGGTATGAGTTCAGCTGCAGAAGCTCAAACTTTCACGTTCCAACATCAACTCCGCGTTGAGAGTGTGCCCTGAGTGACACGTTTCACGGTTATATGGCCCAACCAGGCTCTGATGTATTTTTCTTTGGCGGCTTGAACTTTGACTTTGTTTTCCTCACTCAAATCTTCCCACCTTAATTCTACATTTTTTTGGCATGAGAAACATTCAGGGAATCCCAAACAAATAGACTTCCTCGCTGGCAACAAAACACTCGGTGGATCCATCCCTAAAACAGATTTCATAGACGGGTTCACCAAATGAGCGGGAAGTGTCATCGCCAAAAGCAAACAGTTCATCGTCTTCTCCATCTACCTCCATGTCACCATGTCACTCCCAGGATCACTTGGAGTATACTCACTGTCCCTCTCCGGTTCAACAGCATCCCCTTCAATTATACTGGAGGGTGGTGGATAAATTTCCATAAATGTTGATCACGGGTGTCAAGTGAAGGAGCATTCCTCAGGTCTTCAGCTTCAGGGAGTTAGAACCATTGGCCTTCAGGATCAAGCCAGACTATGACTTCCCATGTCTTCATCTCCTGCAATGATCCAGGAAAATGTCTGGATTTTCCCAGGAGAGCCTGTTCAGGTGTGAATCCGCCCACTCTGCTCAAGGCATTCTTGGCTGCGAACGCTTGTCTCAAACACAATCTAAACTCTTCTTCTGTGTTGATTGATGGGACTCTCCTGGTTCATCCTATCCAACATGTTTTTCACCGTTCACATTGTCCAAGTTGCCAATGACTTTCACCTGCACTTATATAATGAAACACGGATGTTCTCCCTCTGCAAAAACTGGGTCCATTCGTTGTTCACAAATTCTCCTGCAGGATCCAAGTAGAGCAGTTTGCAAGGTCCAGCCCAATTGTAGGAGGGAACAAATCCTTTGTGTACGTAACATCGTGGAAACCCTGGGTGGTCGTGGGCGGGTTCGATTTCTTCTTTCACCTTGGCCATTTTGGGTCAAGTGACACCCACACATTTTCATCCTACACCGCCTGCTGGCATTGGGGAGGAGGTGTGGGTGCATGTACCCACTTGCACTTGGTCAGCAGCAAGTGGGTACAATCGTTCGGGCGACGGTCGGCGCAAGCCATATCCTTGAGCTGTTCGTTGCAATAGCCCTGGTGATATTGACATCACTGTGCTGGCTGATTATCAGGTGCTGCCGTTGCTGGTTTGGGACACGAGATTACACCACCATACGTTTGCCTTCGGGCTTTGATATCTCATATCATGGACCCAACACCCGATGAGTGTCTCAAGATGTTGACGTTGGCTGACGTTGTCACGTTCATTGGGTTGGAATCGGGACACATGGGAGATGACAAGACGATGGTGGGATCGTTGGCCCAGTTGATAGGTGCAAAGGCAGACACAAAGCCGGCGGCAGTTGGTATCATTCCAGAACCGGACTTCGATGCAGTTTTGATGGGCTGGAAGGTTCCGACTGTGTCAGGGACAGGTGCTCCGGGAGTACGTCCTCCAACGTTGATAGAGTTGGGACAAGCCAAGCTGCTAGGGCATGTTTGCAGAGTGGTTGTCGGAAAAGGTGAGACAGTCGCTGATTTGAAGAAGAAGGCCACAGCTTCAGCAGCAGCAGCGGCAGCAGCAGCTTCGGTCGCTTCATCAGTGGCGGCTGCGAGGAAAGTGAAACTCAGCAGTGTCATATCCCAGATCGATGACACTGAAGTGTTGCTGACTGATGAGAAGGAGATCCTCAAAGCGTACGCCAGGTTCGAAGCCGTCTATGGGAAAGGTGAGAGACCCCCCAAAGAGAGCGAACCTACTGCTGAACAGATCACGGCCATCAAACATCTTCTTGACCAAGGAGCTTGCCCGTATGCAGACTTTGCCATCTTTGGCCCATTCGGTATGCGCATCCTCAAGAAAGTCAAACTTTCAGGTGTCGTCATCGGGCGAGATGGTTCGTTGAAGCGTCAAGAGTTTCATGGTCCGGCGAACGTGGCACATTGGTGGTCTTCGTACACGGTTCTGCAAAACATTCTCGTGATGTTGGACGCCGTGGATTTAGGGAACCTTTTGAGGTACAGGACCATGGTTGAACGTTATCATGATCGGTTTGGTGACAAGGTCCGGAACATCATTTACCAAGGTGACGTTCGCTGCAGGTTGGAAAACATGCCACGTTTGAAGAGGATTGCGCAGGCTGAGTTTGACAAGACGGCAAGTTCTGGGCAACCTATGCCTGTAGGGTATGATCCGAATCGCCCGTGGAACTTCGTGTGGGGCCGTGCATGCGACGACCTGGACTTCTGGCGTGAAGAGGTCAACGAACCTGCATTCCTCATCGTCACCAAGATTGCAAACTCGGCCGAGATCCTCGATGGAGATGCGAAGACAGCACAAGGAGGACAAGGTCCCAGAGAGATCGCACCAGGACCGGCAAGACTCAGCAATGATGGAGCCGGATCATCCTCTGACCATCGCACAAGGAAAGCAAGCCGTACAGGCAGATTCAACAATGTGGAGAATGGCAAGTACGTCACGAACAGAACAGGCTACAAGATCTGCCCGGGATTCAACGATGGCACTTGTGCAGAGTCGGTCCAAGGAGTCTGGTGCCCACATGCATGGAACACAGCACATCAGTGTGATCGTTGCCTAGGAGGACACCCTTCTACCAAATGCCCGCATGCGGAGATGCCTGAACCTGGATTCCTTCGCAGATCGAAAGGAAAGGGCAAGAAGGGGAGTGGCAAGAAAGGAAAGGGCAGCAAGAGGCCGCCCTACTGACAGGACAGCGATCGATTGCATGGTGACGCAAGTGGACAGAAGCCTCAGCAACATGGAAGCTTGCAGTCACAACAGAATTCGATAGATACAGCAAACAGTACAGTTGACAGTACAGTTGGGCAGCATGTTGGTCGTGAAGACAAGTTCAAGTTGCTCTACCTTTTCAGCGGTCCCAAAAGACCCAAAGATGGCTTGGGAAGGTTCCTCAGGGAGTCTGGAGTTGCATCAGTGTACCTGGACCGTGAGGTTGACGAACAACATGATATGCTTGACCAAGACATATGGGACAGGTGGACTGCAAAGCATGACGAATTCGATGCCTACATGATTTCACCACCATGCAGCACTTTCTCGCCAGCGAGGAGCGGGGGTGGAGGACCCGCCCCTTTGAGATCAGCAACGGGGCCTGGAGTTTATGGGCTCAAAGACCTGGCGATGAAGGACAAGACGAAGGTCAAGGAAGGAAACGTTTTGGCACTCAGAGCACATGAGACGGCAAAACGGGCTCACGAGAACAACAAACC